GACCCGCTGTCGGAGTCTCATGAACCCCGATGTGCATGGGCTGATAAAAAGGGAAGGACAATGAGTGAGACGGGAGAATTCAAAAAAACGTATGTAAATTAAGCCTGGGTGCGTCTCACCTGTGGCACGTCGACTTTCCCATCCGCGAGCATGGCAAAAGCTTCTTCCACGGCGGTGAAGGCCTGTCCGACGTTGAGGGTCTAGGAAATGGGTGGGACGGGAGATTAAAGGGCTTCGTGATGCTGTCATTGTTTATGAGCGGGTATCCTGTAGAGGTGTCGTTGACTAGACCGAGCATGGCTTCTGCGTCGAGTGCACAACGCCCCGGAGCTCACCTTCTTCACCGTGGCATAGTCGAAGAATTTCGGAGTGGGCATTGTTGCCATGGCCCGCATAGTCATGGCACTAGCAATGGTAGAAGATGAAGAAAGACGGGGGCGGAGCTGGTGGAGGGCGGCGCGACGGACTATACCCCTCATGGTTTATAGTCTTGGAGCCGAACTATCTGTAATGGGAGTGATTGAGTCGGACCAAAATGTAGGGGGGGGGAATTGTCAGGCAAGATTATCCGACCAAACTGACGGCATACTCGCTTTCACGTCGTTGCGCCTGATATTTGAAGGATAGATGCAGGATTCCGGGGAGCGCACCAATGCGTGCGTGCAAAGACAAAGGCTGCAGCAGCAGGCAGGACGGGCTAGCACGTTCTACCTTTTCGTCCTGAAACATGCCAGTTAAGACCAAGAGGACGCAGTGACGGAGCGTGGCACGAAAAAGGGCTAGGGACACTTAAGCTGTGGTATTTGTCGATCTGGACCACGTCGCACTTGCGGTATACTTCTGGTTTTGGCATTGTCGTTTTTGCCTGTCTTCTCGATCCCACTTTCAGCGAGTCGCCTTCAAGCACATTCGATCCTGAGTGCCATGCCTATTATTTTAATTGCTGCGACAAACTGCAGGTTACCTGTAGAAAGCCCTGAAAGGACTCAATGCCCCACAATGATTGAATGATGGAAATTTTCTAGCACCTTGGCGCCCGTTTTTGTTGTTTAAACACATAGAGATTTATCCTCCTTGCAGCCAACAGTAGTAGGATCGTGGCGCGACACCTGAATCCTTCCCTGGTGCTTTTATAATCAAATCAACCAAGTAAACGACATAAAATGCATCATAACCAGGAGCTTGTCATTTTATTTTACTTTCAGTTCAATGTCATCGACTGGGACATCAGATCTTGCCCAGTCCTCTTCGCTCCCGCCCTCCCCTCTCCCCCCTTGCGAGGGGAAAGGCTGCCCTTCCTCCTCCTGACCCCTCCAACGAAACACACGATACCGATGATTCAACGACGGCAAAGCATGCACGCCAAAGTGGGACTCCAATGCCCCTTCCTCTGGACAAGGGAGACAATAAAACACCCTCCGTATCCGTGAGTGGACCAGGGCCATGGCGCACATGACGCAAGGTTCATGAGTCATGTAAGCATCTAAACCGGTGCACAGATATTGGTCCTCAGGGAGAGATCCTCTCCACGATGCCTCCTTGTCCTCCCGCGCTTGGGCCTCTTCCAAATTCCTCCCGTGAACGCCTTGGAAGCAGACGGAACCTGATGGCTTCCCTCTCCTCTCTCCTGCTATTAGCACATTGAACCCTAATCCTAACCCAAGCCCCGAATCAATTTTCAAAGAAGATGAAGTCTCTCGGGATATTGATAGGACTGACAAGCCTGGGGCCCCGCCCGCTAACTCCCTCCCTCCAGCACGGCCTGACGCGACCCCCCGCCCTCTCTCCGCCTTCTCCTTCTCCTCCTTCCCTTCTTGGCAGCCCACCCAC